TATTGGATTACCCGTTTGCCTGACCCTGCCTTGGATACTGTTTGCACCAGCCTGGACTATTGCTTGTGTTTACAGATTACCCCTTTTGTCAAGCTCTCTGGATTTTGTTCGCTGATCAATGACCCACGCCTGCCCTAGGAATACTCTTTGTCTTGCCTCATTCATGACTGTTTGCTGATTATTGACCCATGCCTGTTTGTGACCACGCCTTTGAATAAAGCTCTGCATATGGATCCGCACGCTTCCTCTGTTCCTTCCGTAACAAATACAGTGAAGAAGACTTGAGTGACATTGATTTTTACTCAACTACAAGGTATACATGTTCATGTATCCTTCTGTTCAGAGAGTCTCTCTTAACAACTGACAGTTGTTTAAATTGTCTGTGGTGAAGTCAGATTAGCATTGAGAATTTCCATGACAAAATACAGAGGGTTCACCACAAGGCGCAAACAAGGCCAGATTAGACTTTGCCAAAAAAAAAACATCTAAAAAAAGCCAGACCACTTCTGGAAAAGCATTATTTGGACGCCTGAAATTAAGATCACCCTGTACCAGAATGACAGGAACAAAAAAGTATGGAGAAGGCTTGGACCAGCTCATGATTCAAAGCATACAGCATCATCTGTGAAACATGATGGAGCATTGTGATGGCATGAGCATGCATGGCTTCCAGTGGCACTGGGTTACTAGTGTTTAGTGATGATGTGACAGAAGACGGAAGCAGCCGGAAGAATTCTGAAGTGTACAGGGATATACACTCTGCCCAGATTCAGTCAAATGCACAAAGTTGATTGGGCGACTCTTTATAGTACAAATGGACAATGACCCAAAACACAGCAAAAGCAACCCAGGAGTTTAAGGTAAAAAAGTGGAATATTTTGCGATGACCAAGTCAATCTCCTGATCTCAACCTGATTGAGCATGCATTTCACTTGCTGAAGACAAAACTAAAGGCAGAAAGAAAGAAAGACCCACAAACATACAATAACCGAAGTCAGCTGCAGTAAAGGCCTGGCAAAGCATCACAAAAGAGGAAACCCAGTCTGTGGTGATGTCCATGAGTTCCAGACTTAAGGCAG